TGCATATTATTTGGGACGTCATACATTGAAGCATTGTATATAAGACTATATAATAGAATATATTATTATACCTGCAATCTACATAATATATATTAAAATTCGATTGTGTCATTGCGCAGTAAACAAATTAAAACCTATTATAATATTTACTATTCATTTATTATAATGCGCTACGGATAGGTAACTAACTAGGTTAGAATCACTATACACAGTATGTCCCAGAAGTCCCGTATCACACTTAGAATCAATATATTGAAATGCAGTTTTTTTTTACAGTAATAAGTATGGAAATTCTGATTGAATAGCATAATATTCGATTTTTTTAGGCAAATAAGTATTTTTAATTTCCAAGATAGCCATTTTGTTGATCGTATTTTTGAAAACAGTTAAAAAAAAAATATTAAAATGTAATGAAAATTGCCCAAGTTATAGAGCTAATTATTATTTTGAATTTCTAAGAATAATAATAGTTATGTTACCTATGCATTAGCAAAATTACATACGGCATTAGCAAAATACGATTCGCAAGTTAATTACTACAATCACGCTGATTTTTCGGCTAAAATTAAAAATAATAATTAGCTCTAACTTGGGCGATTTTCATTAAATTTTAATATTTTTTTTTTTTGAACTGTTTTAAAAAATACGATCAACAAAATGGCTATTTGAATAACTTATTTGACAAAACAAATGTTTTGATAATTTTTGAATTTTTGAAAAAAAAAATTGAATATTATGCTGTTTAATCAGAATTTCTATACTTATGACTGTAAAAAAAACTGCATTTAAATATAGGTATATTGATTTTCCACAGAGATACTGATACGGGACCTACTTTAGTGGAGTATATTATACATAATTATTATTCTATGATAATATTAGTAATATTATTTTTGCTAATCACAATTTTAAAAATAATTGCTTTAATACATTGTATCGATCAAAAAAGAGCAATTAGAATACACATCTATATCAAATACTATAATATTAAAAGTACCTACCAATAACATACTAATATAACATAAAGCGTGCGGAAACGGTTATAATATCATCTCTAGATTGTCATGAACCAATATTATAAAACAGCGACGTACAATAAAATATAGGTAATGAAATACCGGTTGCCTCTGACGTACCACATGACTCAGGGGCCACGGCTGCTTCGAATGGGGTACCTCCATCGTGTGAACAAGGCCGCTAGCACTCGATGTTGGCAGTGCTCGGGCGAATCAGACACCGTCGAACACACCCGAGAATTATACCTACATCTATAGTGCTCTCCTTCAGGCATGGTTCTACGGCATGGTGGAAAACATCCTCTCAATCAAGGAAGACGAGGAACGAGTGCGACGGGCTGCGAACCGACGGAATTTACTATAGTTAAGAACCGATTTTTACCGTTTGCAATATAACTCATTTTTGCTTGTAATAACAGCGGGTGGGGGACTGTCCCGCCGCTGTTAATTGTCGTGTGTTTGTTTTGACAATAAACGATATGGGCTGGAGGAGAAGTACTGGCACCATAGTTCCTCCTCCAGTCCTCGATACCACAATAAAAAAAAAAAAAAAAAAAAGTATGTGTGTTACCAGTACGCGCGCGGGAAGTTAAACTTCTTTTAAATGGTACACGTGAGTGAGTGAAAAAGAAAGAAAAAAATATTAATTGATTTAAAAAATGAGAAGAAGTATCCGGAATTATTTTTTATTGATAGTTTTATTATTTTTTTTATATTTTTATTCGACAGATCGGTGGATAATTGTTTGTAGTATTGTTTTTATCCAAACAATATATTTGTGAGTGAATAATAATAATAATAATAAATATAAATAATAATCGATCATTAATTATTCATATTAATTAGTATGGCCCGATTATAATATATAATATATATAATATATATTATATATATATTATAATATATAATAAAACAACATTACCATGACAATATTTATTTATTTACGGACATGTACGCTTTCGCGTTCGTACGGCCGCCCGTTCGTACGCGTCGCCCGTTCGCTTTTTTTTTCCTCACTACCGTGCGTAAAGAAGTATAACTTCAAAAAAAGGTAATGAAATTGTACGCAATAAAATATTTATTTTATAAACGCCTAGGAGGTATGACCCGTCTACATTGTTATTATAGTTTATTCAACTCAGATAACTCGTGTAATAATTTTATATTATTCGTTCAAGTACATAGCTCAATTTATTTATTTTTTATATACTTTTATGTGCCTATAGGTATTTATATATACTACCTATGTATTTTTAAAATCTGCAAAATCATATTTTTCTAATTACATAATATATTGCTATATTAAATTATTATTAAGAGAGTGTCGGCGTAATATTTGTTTTCACTCTCTCTGACCTACGAGTAACATAGAACATTTTCGGCGTTCAGCCGAATATAAAACCGAAAAATGAGCATTTTTCATACCTATACTTATAACATGCCTGAAAATTTAAATATCGTAATAAAACCGACGGAAGAACACAGATACTGTTCTTAAAGTCAAGTTTTATATCAGGTCGATTCACTCTAATACTGAAACTAACTACACGAGGTCGGTTCTAATGAACGAACATTGTCTATGCTGTGAGTAGGTCGGAGAGAGAGAGAAAGCAATTAATGACTTCCCGGAGAACGCTGCACTCACACGTGCCGTATATGACCTTGGTTTTAAAAAAACGCATAATATAAACAATATAATATCATACTAAAATTTACGTACAACAGTTCCGATTTTTTTGTTGTGCGTGATTTCTATTGGAGTGAATGGATCTTATATTATCAAACTCATAGGCGAGAACATAATTTATTTACGTGTTCTTTCGTTGACTTTTTTACAATATTTTAATGTTTAAGGGAGTTAACGAGTGGGTACATAAAATATTGACATTGCAAACAGTGCTCACAACTCGCTTAAAAATGTTGTAAAAAACCAACGATACGCAACAGGTTTACTAATTTATCTTTAGCTACCCAGTCATCAATTCACTCTTCATAATAATATTAAAGCCGACACAATGTCTTATTAACAGTGTAACCGTAGCCGAACGAAAATTTGGTACCACAATAGGTTGTCTGTATATTATATTACTGAAGACAGCGGTAACGATAGTAAGACACGTGTTGGTAAACGTTCTCGTGGAATGTTATGCCGGCTCCAAAAACCAGCGAGCCCCCCCCCCACACTTTCCTCGCCATAACCGCTCAGATGGAATTAATTATTGACGTGTTTTCGAGCCGTCCGAAAAAAAAAAAAGTGAACAGTCTGGTTTTTTCGACGCATGCCTGTTTACAAACATCTATCGACTATATACATATTATACCTACTACAGAGAGATAAAACCAGTATAATATAATTATATAATATTATTATGATTAAATGCAGTAGTTTTAAAATGATAATAATAATAATAATAATAATAATAATAATAATAATAATAATATCAACAACAACGAATATTATTCGGCAGCCGCCGAGTTCATAGCAATAGTATGGCGTACGTGAAGGACGATACATTTTTTTCCACTGTATAACTTATCTCCTGTTTTTCTGTTATATATCGTTTATAAGTTTATAAATCATAAGAGCAATTAGACAAAAAAAATTGCTCTAAAACACCTAGGGCCGCTAATAAACTTGGAATAGTGGGCCGGACCCGTCCTAGTCCGCACCTGGACTCGTTACGGGATTATTTGTAACGTATCGCTGATGGTATTAAGTCGTTTTGTAATCACCAAACACACGTTAAAATCACGTTTTGGAGCCACTTCAAGGTGGCAACTGGTGTATAAGAACAGTCAAAAAGTCAAATGCGTATTCATCGATCGTCATTTTTTGTTCGCCAACTCACAACGACCATACGACGAGCGGCAAACTGCAACAGTCGGGGTCAACTACTGAATAATTTGTAAACGTCGCAAATTCGAACTTTAAATGCTTATAAAAAAATGTAAGTCTATGTAAGTACTTTTAACATTTTTCAACTACTACTGTACCTAACAATATATCAGGAGCCTTGTATTAAATTTTCAAGATTTTTGGTCCAACAAATTAAACTGCATTGATATTTATAGAATAAAAACTAAAAAAATAAGTATTTTAAATTTTCTGTTATTAGCTCAAAGAGAGTTAAGATATTTTCAAAATGTTATGGTGCATATAAACTGAAAATACAAACATTCAGTGAAAATGTCATCTACACATCTACAGTTATTAGTTTTTGCGTTGTAAAAATATCAACTTCAGATGCACATAAACATTTTTTTTTTTACTTTCTTTTGGACATTTTTTTTTTTAGACAAGTTCCGATCACTGCAGTAATAATTGTGATTTTTTCTGGCCTCTACTTCACTTATTAGAATTATCTGTATCAATAATCAGTAAACATACAATTGTCGGGAAAAATCATATTTTTATAACATTGAAAAATACCTTAAAAAATATTATACTACAGAGAGATAAAACCGGTACAATATAATATAATAATACTATGAGGAAATGCAGTAGTTGTAAAATGATAATAATAATAATATCAACAACAACGAATATTATTCGGCGGCCGCCGAGTTCATAGCAATAGTATGGATGGCGTACGTGACGAACGATCCATTTTTTTTTTCCACTGTATAACTTATCTCCTGTTTTTCGTTTTTACAGTACTATATATGAATGATAATATTACTAACGTTTTGTAGCGCATGACATCGTTGGTCGCCAGTAGAGGTGGCGGCGGCGGCGACATCTCATTGGACGGCTCGTGACCGGTCGGTAACAACGACGCCACGAGAGCGGCCGAATATTGCCGACGCCTACGCTTCGGTGGCACCGTGGTCCCGAGGCCACCGACGAACAGCGCTCGGCGTCGGCAGCTCAGTCGTTTCTTGCGAGTCGTGCGCTACCATCGCTGTTTGAATTTAAGTTCTTACGATCCTGCAGTCTGTACCCGTCAAGTCTCGTTGCTTTTTCGTTTACCGTTTCACATCAAAATGCCTGGCTTTCATTGCCACCTTCCCCGGGAAGAAGAAGAACAAATTAAAGAAGACGAGGAGGTGATCGTTATAGCCGACGACCACGAAGAAGATAGGATCGACGTAACGAGTGAAAACGAAGATGATGATGGGTCTTGTAATATGAGTGACGAATCTGAAAGCAGTGAAGCGTCATCAATAGAGAACGACATGACCATTCAACCGTGGGTCCCTATAGTCAGCTCGAGCGAGGATGATGAGTCAGAGGCAAGTGGCTTCTGGACACCACCCTCGACCATCGGCGAAGATGTCGAAGAAGTGCAGGTACCCAGAAACACCGCCCGACGAGCCACACGGCGCCTTAACACAGCCCGGAGATCCAGAGCCAGCCGTCCTGGTGTGTTCGCCGTGAGGCGAGGCCGACATCGACAACCTGTAGCGTAAGTTACAACAACATCATTATAGCATAATATTTTATTTAATTTTTAACGGACAACAACAATGTACGAGTGCGAGCGACGAATTTACGCGGAATGTCAATTTCCGTTCTCGTCGTTGTCGTTGTCCGCCTTTACGCGGTTATTCGGTGCACCAATAGTTAGGTATTTCATTAGTGCTCCGACACGCTTTCCGGATTTTCATGAACGATACACAGCTTGAGTTGGTTATCGAATGGAAATCGAGCGCGACACGCGTTCGACGTACCGGCGAAACGTATCGGTACGCGTGGAAATTTCGTTTTTGAAAATCTCACAGATTTCTATAATATAATATAGGCACATTTTGTATAACGACCAGCAATATGGTGGCGGACGTCAGTGGCGTATTTTGAAATTTTTTCTGGGGGGGTCTAAATATTAGGTACCTACAAGTTTATAATATAAAAAAACACATACGAGTTACGATGTAATAATTATATTATATTATATTTTTTTCTGGGGGGGGGGTCCAGACCCGGGGACCCCCCCCCGTAAATACGCCACTGGCGGACGTAGTGATAAAGTTTTGAAATAAGGCTTCACTATTTCCAATGCGCGACTACGGCGCGCGTACCTATAATATATTGTAGACATCTGTCGAAAATGTCGCGAAACTCTGTCATTTTCACATGTACCTAACTAACGATCGATTTTTACTCCCAACAGTGAACAAGAATTTATCGAACTCACACCGTTCGAGAGGGGTCTTACATTCAACGGCTTCGCTCGGGACCTCGTGCCCGAAAGAATAGTAGGCCATCAACTAGAAGGCTACCGGAAGAACCTCTATTACAGGGTAAAGTGGAGAACTGTCGAGGAACCTAAACTGATAGAAGCTAGCGTGATGAAAGCCTATAGACGGGACCTGATTGTCGACTACTTTGAAAACAGGATTAAAGAGGATTTTTAACGACCTTCAAATTTTCCACCGGTTAGTATATTTTAATAATAAAAATAATCACAATAAATACAACACAACCGTGTTGTTGAAATTAAATTTCTTTACAATGGTGGGCACAGAAATTTATTATTTTATTGTCATGAGATTACTCACGTCAGTGGCGTATATAGAAAGAATTTTTGGGGTGGGCAATAGTAGATAGAAACTAGCAAGGGATCTATTATTTAGGAGCTGTATACTATATATAATTTAATTGTTTCTTTAAATATATTCGTATTTGTTATTTTTCAAGAAATCGGCTAGGCATTGAATTAATAATTATTTTGTTTATGAAATTATCCACACAACTATTTAGGTCCAGTAATTTCCCCATTCTAATATGTTATAGTAATATTATGATTATTAACTTGTTGTTTAATTTTTTTTGTTTTAGGACCTCCAGCAAGATTAATTCGGCTGCAATGTTCTTTTTTTATGATTAATTTAAATGTATTATTTGTGTTTATAATGTATTATCCTCAAATATTTTTTTTTTTTTTTTTTTTAAGCATGTATAATAATAATTTTTGTTGAACTTTAAATGTTCATAATTTATTTAACTACTACATTAATTATTATACATGATTTTTTTTTTTTATTGTTGTATGACTTAAACAACACGACTGCATATAATTAAGTATAACAAATAAAATAATGTGTTTCCTCCTTTACAAAATAGTGTCGACTCATTTTTTCTTCATAATATTTTTAAGTTTAAAATACACGCAAGTCGAATATTGGTACGAAAAATGAATTTTGCTGAGTTCAACATCATACATTTTCATAATCTCAGATATACTACGCTTACAACTGAGCATAAGGTTATAGGTAATTAATGTGTTATTTTTAATGTTTTAAGGTTTAAGATGAAAAAACATACAAAATGTATATTGTAAATACGATAAATAGTAGGTCATAATTCAAGAAACAAAAATGTGTTACATATCTAATTTGGTACACAGATTTACGTAGGTAGATATAAGTAGTAAAGGTGACTTCTTTTGAGTATTCCGAATAATGGTATAAAAATAATTTATAAAATATGCTTAAAATTGTTTTTTTTAAGTAAGCTTCACCTTACCTGTATTTGCTAAACATCATGTCCTACAGGAAAAACTATCACGCCTCATAAAGTGAGCAGATTTCGATAATTTTTTTTTTTTTTTGGAAAGTGAAACGTTTTTTGCAATTCACGTTGCACTTTGATTTTCAAAATATTATTTAATTTTAAGTTAGTTACACGTGTATGTAAAATATTAATATTTGAAAAATTAAAATATTGTAAAAAACCAACGAGAGAACACAGATAATAATCTTACATTTAGGTTTGATAATAGGTCAATTCACACTTAATAATACGAATTTGGAACTACCTATAATAATAATAATAATTTATTTTTTTTTGCAATAACACAATTTTTTTACATCAAAATATCAAATGAAAAGACAATATTGCAGCACCCACGGTAAGCAAAGGTTTTGCTGGGGAAGCAGTTCTTAAGAATATAAATAAAACAATATAATAATAAATTTTAGTATGAATAAAAATGGAGTATGGATACCACCTAATCAAAATATAGGAATATAGTGAAATTTTTCCAATTTAAAGTATCATATTAAATAACAGAAATATACTAGTATAAATGTAATACATACCTATTATAGTGAAGAATTAAATTTAACGTTTTAGAAATATTATAAAATGACAAGAAAATACATTATCTTTAAGCTTAATCTAAATTTAAAAATTTAATGTGTTTCTTACAATTAATTAAATTACTAAAATTATTTATATTAAAATTAGAAGTTAAACATAATTTAAAATATATAAATTTATATATCTTATAATATTTTGTCCATAAACTTATACACGATTTGGTAAACGTATATAAATATTATGTTTAAATCTAGTTTTGTTTTCGTGATCAAAAATAGTTGGACGTAGGTACTTTTTGGAATTATTATGCGTTAGTAAGACGGTCACACATAATATTATGCGAGTACGACGTGTCGAAGTCCTCTTGAAAACATATTATAAAGTGGAAGATTAGGATATTAGAATCCAGAGGACAATGGGAGCTGTAGAATATTTTCGAACATTAATTAAAATAAATATATAAAATTTGAGTTGAACGATGAATGTATTGATTTTACAATGATGTGTTTTTTTTTTTGTTTCTTTGTACACGTAGTCGAAATAATGCTTCGATTTTCAACTTCAGTATCTTGATCGATTGGAAAGTGAATATTATTGGTGCATTGGGGAGATAAAAATTTAAAATTCACAGTCATTTTCAAAAGCGCCAAGAAACACAAAAGAAAAACGGGAAGTTTTACTCAAATTGAATTTAGTTTTTTGTGTAACTTTAAAACAAATGACCGTAGATACATGCAATTTCCAATGGTTTTTAATAATTGCATTTTCTATACACGATAATATTTTGATTTATTTTGAACTGTTTAGGGACATTATCATTTTCCATTTTTTTATAAAAATATCAAAACAATTTTATTTGTTGGTTAAAAAAGCTTGAAAATTTAATAGAAGGCTCCTAGTATATTGTTTCAAAGGCAGATGAAAAATATTAAAAATCTTTGAAATTCAAAATGTTTTGCTGAAAAGTGGTATTCAAAATGTATGCATGGTAGGAACATGGGGGGGGGGGCAAAGCGTCAATAATTGAGTCCTTGGAAGTTGGAAAGCAGTTTTTAAATAGTTGGTTTTTAGCTCCTGTTCTTAATTTTCCCAATTCAAGCACTAAGTATAGTACGAGTATATTAGTATAGAAGTCTGTATGTACGCTCAGTACCATCACCGGCCTTCGGACTCTGTTTACGTCGTTCCGGTATTTTTTTTAACGTATCGATGATGGTATTAAGTCGTTTTGTAAACACCAAACACACGTTAAAATCACGTTTTGGAGCCACTTCCAGGTGGCAACTGATGTATAAGAACAGTCAAAAATGCGTATATTCATCGATCATCATTTTTCGTTGGCAAACGAACAACGCATAACGACCATACGACGAGTGACAAACTGCAACAGTCGTGGTCAACTACTGAATAATTTGTAAATGTCGAAAATGCGAAATTTAAATGCTTATAAAAAAAAGTTATGTCTATGTAAGTACTTTTAATATTTTTTAACTACTTTTGTACCTAACAATATATCAGGAGCCTCGTATTAAATTTTCAAGATTTTTGGCCCAACAAACTAAATTGTATTGATATTTATAGAAAATAAACTAAACAAATTTAAATTTTAAATTTTCTGTTATTAGCTCAAAGAGAGTTTAGATATTTTCAAAATGTTATGGTGCATATAAACTGAAAATACAAACATTCAGTGAAAATTTCATGTACCTACCCATCTACAGTTATTAGTTTTTGTGTTGTAAAAATATCAACTTCAGATGCACATAAACATTTTTTTTTTACTTTCTTGTGGACATTTTTTTTTTTTTTGATAAAGGTTGACAAACTTATGAGGAATCTTGTATTACATTTTCAAATCTTAGATTAAAAAAAAATGTATGATATTATACTAACTCAAAATTATAATTTGCAAATTTTAGTAATTTATAAGTGTTTTGTCAACATTTGAACTTTAAATGGTTATAAAAAAAAATTGTCAGCATGGATTTTTAATATTTTTCAAATATCATTATAACAATATATCTATTAGGAGCTCAGAATCTAAAATGAAATGTATTAAATACGGCAAATGATTACAATAACAATTACAGTGTAAGTCGTATACACATCGTACACACTTCTTTACCGGGTCGTTAAATATTGTAATCAATTCTCGATGAAGTATAAAATTCAAAATTATAATTATAGACGATGAGAAGATTTGTGGCGATTTTTTATTTTTTTTTAAATCAATAAGATAATTATGTAATATAATATAATGCTTAAAATCTTAAAATATGCAAAATCATGTAAGCTTGGTCAAATATGCAACATACATTTTTGTATTTGGATTGTGTGTACTGTCAAACGAGTTTGTATCGCATCAGACTTTTAATATTATATTATGCACCTTCTTAGGAAATACGCAATTGCATAAAGTTCCGAGCACTGCAGTAATAATTGTGATTTTTTCTGGCCACTACTTCACTTATTAGAAATATCCGTGTCAATAATCAGTAAACATACAATTGTCGGGAAAAATCATATTTTTATAACATGGAAAAATACCTTAAAAAATATTATGTTTGGTTAGGTACAACAGGCGCCAACTATGAGATTTGTTGGACACCGAAGCCTAAAACCGTACTATTATAAAATTGAATAAGCTTAAAAAATTTAGTAAATGTTTAAAAGGCTGTTAATGTTGTTGGCTACAGTTGGCCTTATTTACGCATATGGTACCGTACGGTTTTATAAGTCTCTTTGTGACAAAACTGTGTCACAACTATAATAATTGTAAACATATAGATTCTAGATTGTACTAAGAAATTAGTAAATAGGACGTGTTCGTTTATCAAGGTGTTCTCATATCACGTTATTACTTATTTTAATATTTTGTGCCAGTATTTTTAAAAATTAAGTCGTTTTATTTCAGGATAGTTTAAAAATGTCCAAAACATGCAATAGTGTAATCTGTCCATCATATTTATCAATATAGGTACCTACCTATATTCGAATTAGTAAATTCACGTATAAATTATTTTGGTCGATTTTGACTGCATGTTTCGATAGTTTCTAGTGCGCAACAAGTCAAGTCCCGAACCCTAAATTTATTTATATACGAAAACTGTAAAAACTTGGTTGTAATCTATACTTAAACACCCCCCCCCCTCCCATTTCATTATCCTAGGTTACTTGTAATTATGCAAGCAGTATATTGTCAAGTAATATTACTGTTGTAACTTATAAGTGTATATTTAATAAAACACATATATTAATTGATCAATGTTAAATATTATATATTTCCACTACCCAGTACGACAGTACGAGTGTC